TTTTCGCAAGCTGGGCTCAAAAATCTATGTAAAGCTTGGATTTGCTCAAAATGCAGACTTGTATAAAATATGCATCTTTTTTCATCACTGCGAATAGAGATAATAAATTTTTCCATGGCTGAATTTTTTTGTAACTTAACCTGAATAATTTTATTACGCATCTTTATCGAATCTGTCTGAATTTCTATTGCTCTTGTATGCTTCCTAGTTTTTTCAGGGTTTATATCTCCAAGGGTCATACTCATGTCTGACGTTTGATCTGGTAATATTTGTTCAACAAAACAAGTATTATCATCAATTACGTTGTGAACCTCTCCATGAGACACTGATGTCTATAAGAAAAAAAAAATTTTTCATTAAAAATAAAAATTTTCTATAATTTTTTATTATTCACACTGTACCTGTGCATCTGGTAGAATATCATCTAATTTGCTATATTCTAATCCATTTGCTTTTTCCATATCAACTCTGTTGTATTTTTCGGATAAGCTGGTTCTTGCTTTGAGCACCTATAAACAGGTTTGAGGTTATAACTCCGAAAATTGTATTTCTGTATAATTTATTTTATACCTTACCTTATTAATTGATTTATCAATATGTTGAAACTCTTGATAGCTTAAAGGATCAGGGTTTTGTTCAGTTGAACCACTTTCTCCAAGAAAATGTAGTGAGCAAATATAAGTATCCTTAGTAACATCATCAATAGATCTAAAACCTCGGTCACTTCTGCCACATTTTTTCACCCATAACTCACATTTCGCACATTTTCCACATGCTTTAATGTGTAATTTGCTTGATGATTTGATTATTTTTTTTTCGATATTCAAGACAAGGCTTTGGAAAATTTATAAAATAGAATCTATTGGTTTTAAATGATTTGTATCGTGTATCACTTTTACATACTCCATAACAACACCGTTTTGTTGTTCCTTTTCGTACAGACAACATAATTATAATGGAGTACAAAAAATTTTTTCCGATTATTTTGACTTACTACTTATTTTTTTTTTCACTTTTTTTACAATTAATCAACTTTGATTTATATTTTAATTTTTGGTACACGGATAGCGGACAATTTAGCATGGTTGTTTACAAAAAACAGTACGAAAAAGATGGCTGATTCTGACGCATGCGCACAAAAAATTTTTGTGATGAAAAGGCCTATAGTAGTTTATGTCATATGGCCGCAAAGTGGCGATTTTCTGACAACGGCGATGTTGCGATATGAGCTTAAGGTTCGTGGCGGGAATGTACGAAAACGAGCGTAATTTTAACGTCCGAGGCGAAGCCGAGGACGGAAATTTCCGCTCGTTTTCGTAAATTCGCGTCACAAACTTTAAAGCGAATATCGTAAAATCGTCGTTGTCAAAATCACCACTTAGTGGCCAAATGACATACAATATTTTTTGTTATTATCGCTCCATAAGTTTAACTTTTGAGGGATAGGAGGCAAATAATGACATTCAAATTTTATGAAGTTTCACAAGAGCAAAAAAACTTAATTTTATATTAATTATTTTTTTATTAATATTTATTTATAACGCGCTTGTTATTTTATTAACATTAGGTCCGCTTCGTAATAAACTATCAGCAGAGAAAGAATTAGCGCCACTCAATGGTAACTAAGTTTAAAATTTACTCAAAATCCATCGGTCGGTACACTAGAATTTGATTTATTTTGTTCTAAATTTCATCCTATTGCACAAGGACAGTACGGAAAAGAAGGGGAAAGTAAACTTTGCGGCCTAGGCCACGGAAATAAGGCGGTATGGTAGAGTCTCTAGAAATGAGTATCTTTTCGAACGCCACCCAGCACTTAAAAGTTGAACTTTTGGAGCGAGTATAACAAAAAAAATGTATTCATGCACTGACAACGAGACATGAGGCGGCAGAAAGTCTGAAAGTCGGTAGTCGCGCTCACTCTATTACTTATGTATACAAGCCTAACCTCACTTGTGATTGTTATGAATGTATCTGTCTTGTTATGTGTCAATGATTTATATTGAAACTAAGTTAATTACAGAAAATGAATATTTATTTTAATGAAATGAGACTTGTTAAATATTTAAATTACAAAAAGAGAACGAGAAATATTTTTTATTCTGATAGATATTCTCAAATAAATAAATTCATTATTGAACAAGCAATTATTTGAAAAAATACACAAACATATTTTTTCCTTAATTTTTTTTTTTATGCATTTTACGATTATGATTTCATTTGTCTTTTTTTTTTTTTTTTATTCTTAAAATCAGAGTTAATTCATAATATATTTAAAACTTTAAATTTATTGAATTAAATTAAAATCTTTTCTCGAAAGAAAGTAGTAATATGATAGATTATATATTAATATCTTTATTGACAGGTGTATTTGACGCCTGCCCCCCCCTCCCGACCAGCAGCACTCGCTTCGCTCGTGCCGCAAATGTCGGGGGCAGGCATCAATTTTTTTCAACGAAATTTTTAACGTACTTTCGACCGCATAGCAAGAAAACTAGTATACACTACATGGGCAGAAATTTGAGAGCCCTGAACTGCGCGCCATGATGCCCTCGGCTGCGCCTCGGGCACATGGCGCGCAGTGCAGGAATCTCAACTTTCTGCCCTTGTAGTGTAATATACTATTGTGTTAAAAATTTTTGTTTTAAATATTAAACCTTTCTATGTGTAAATTTAACACTTATTTGTGTTAATTCTCTTAAATCAATATAAGGAAGTGTTAAATATTTGAATACAAAATCTTTGAATCGCTTTTTGAATTCAAAAAGCTTTTTAATGAATTCAATGCTTTTTTTTGCATGAAAAAATTTTGTTGGCAATAAAGAATCGATATAGGGGAAGGTGGGGCAAGACGGCCCCCGTGGGGCAAGAAGGCCCACCTCAAAAGTTGACCAAAAATTTATTTTTCTAATTTTTTTTTTAATCACCAAAAATTCAAGAGGAAAATAATTTTTTTTAAATTATTTTGAAATTTACAAAAGTTTTTACTATTAATGTTTAAATAATATTTAGTTAAGATAATGACATTATTTGTGATTTTTAAATGTTCATTTAATGATATTAGGATATTTATGTACGTGTAAAACATAGTTTTCACTATTATTTTCATTATTCATATATTGTTCACATTATTCACATTTATTTTCATTATTCATATGTATTGTTCACATCAAAACATGTTTTCTATTATTGTAACTTTTTTAATAGCATAAGATGAAGGAATAAAACATTATAATTATAAAATAAAAAATTCGTTTATTCAACATTTTTTAACACTACCCTTAGGCCATTGTGAAAACACCTGGAAAATACCGTAGGAATACCGTGTATACACCGTAGGAACACCGCGGGTACACTGCAAAGGTACCGTGGACACACTGCGTATAAGCCGTAGAGACCCAGTGGATACACTATGCGCACACCGATCAAGTACCATGGATACCCGGTAGATACACCGTGGATACACGGTACAGAAATACCACGAATACACTGTGTTGCCACTGTTGGTACACGATGTATTCACCGTGTATATGCGGTGCATTCACGATGTTTTCACGGTGGCACCACCGTGGGTTCAAGGCCGCGAGGGTAAGAGTTTATAAAAATTTTTAAGTATTCATTAAGTTTACTTTATTTTCAATGAAAAATTTTATTAACAATTTATGGAAAAAAATATTGATGAAAGCATATAAAAAATTTATATTCATATATTTGTTAAAGAGATCCTAAAAATTGTCATAGGTCAATTAATTTTAGTAACATTCAATTAATTAATTTTGTTTATTTTTTTTTTTTACTTTTTACATTAGAATATTTCAAAAAGACTTGAAAACATTATTATATTGATGAAAATTTAGTTCAATGTTTCAACAAAGTTTTTTTTTTATAATTAATATTTACAAACTCAAACTTTAGATAAATTGTTCGAAATATTCGTTAGTTATCTGGCCCGTAAAAGTTTGTGTAGCTAATTAAAAATTATTTTAATCTAAAAACTTCTAACTCCACTGAAAAAAATATCCAGATTCACTTTATATGTGTTTTATTTGGTCACTTCGGTACTTTGAGTGATGGGAGTGAAAATTTATTCCCAATTTTTTACAGTGTAATTGGTTTATCTTTAAGCTATTAACTTACCAGTGTTAATCCGTTTACGCCAATAACTGATGTTTCTTTTATATATGAACGGATATATCAAACATATATAAAAAATTAATTCTATATACATTTTCGGCGAAAATCTATGTAAGTTAGAAGAATGTATGGATAAAATTTCTTATGTTTTCATACACAAATTTTTGCCTGTATATGTTCATAAATATTTTTTCCATCGAACAGTTATCAAAGTCTATTTTTCCATTACAATTTGTCCGTGATAATTTCTGACGCTGATCATCAAAAACTTATACCAACAATCACAAGGTCTTAAAATGAATGATAAATGTTAAATTAAAATTATATTTATTTATAAATAACAAATTTATAAGTTACATATTAAAATGAACCGGTTTCATAAAGAAAACCGTGTATAAATAATTAGTCATTGGGTAATCTGTCCGCGGTGATCTGACTAGGAGTCTGCCTCTAACTTAATTGACCAGTGCACAAAAATTGACACATTATTAAACAATCCTTAAAACAACTGTACAAGACTCCAAGTAAAACCGCACTAAGTAACCTCGGGCACGGTAATCCAATCAGTATAATTAACGTCAAATGTCCTCCCAAGATGGCGTCTGTCCGTTCGTAAGTTATCCGTTCGTGAGATACAAAAAAATCCGTGAGTGGTCTATGATTTAGGTCTAAGTCTATGGCATCTGACAGCGAATCCCAGCAGGATCGGTTGAGCAGCTAATATCAAAACAGTAGCTAAGTCCAATCGGTAATCTTCTCGGTCGATAAGCGTCTCGTATGTTGAGTAAAATTAAGTCTTGCAGTGAACTTAGTCAATGGCCGTTAATTTATGATTAATGATAAATAAATAAATATAAATAAATAAATTAATTAGTTGGCTTGTAGGCGTTGTAGGCAAGCTCGGCTCCAGTTGCCGATCTGCCCCAGCCGTGGTGTTCCTCGTGGTGGGCCGGGTGAGCGACAACCTCGTAGCTCTGGTGGTTCTTGTTTGCCCAAAGCTTTTGCAGACCCAAAATAGCCGATATTATCAGGGCGATCTTGCCGATCACCAGGGCTTTGAATGCCAGAAGAGCCAAAGCTCCCAATACGATTGGCATCAAAATCGCGAATTTCATTTTCAAGAGAAGCAGAAGTGGCATTAAGGTTTTTGCGAGCTTCTTCTTCTTACCTCGGGCTGAAAAAAAATTCATATATTAATTTTGAGATGCAAGAAAAATTAGAAAAATTTTGTAATTTCACAATTATTTGATCCGCTTTCAAAGTTTTTACTTTTAGACTTCAAAGTTTTGTATCTAACGGCAAATTGGTACCGTAATTTCACATGACACATATGTCACAGTACATTAGAAAGTATTCATAAAAATTTGCTAGTCTAAATTGAAGATTGAACTTGTACATTTCCAAAAATAGAAAAGATTTATCAACAGATGAGTATTTTGACCCAAATTTTAAAAGTTTCTTTTCACGAATAAAAAAAAGTCCGATCAATAAATGTTTTTCAGAAGTTACCGTAACTCCAAAACCGGTTTTCAGGTCAAGTCAACAGTTTTGAACCGAATTGACTGGGAAATAACTGAGCATACTTGGAACATTTTTGGGTTTTTTTTTTTTCACAAATTATTAAAAATAAAATTATATATACATATACACAAATGTACCTTCGTCGAATGACCGTGAAACTTCTTCGGGCAAACTGAGCTCTACGGTGTGAGTTGACAGGAATTTTCCTGCCCTGTCAACAAGAGCCTCATCGACGGCAGCTTCACGAGCTTCCATTTCAGTTGGCAAACTAGCTTCGATGTCATTCAACGACCTTGCATTGTCAGCACGACTGTAATTAACATAAAATTCACAGTTATTAAAAGGATTATTTATAATTGTTGCATAACAAAAATTAAAGTCATTAAAATCGGTCACTTTTGTTTAATAAAAGTCTTTTGTCGGTAAGTGATGAAAAGTAATAAGATAATAAGTGAAAGTTGTAATTCCGCGCACATTATTTCATTAAATTCCACAATTCACTTTCAGGATGATGAATATAATGAGCAACCACTTACCTTCTCTTGGCCTCCTCGGTCTGAACGATTTTAAGCCCATCTACGATACTGATGTCCGCGGATCTCGCGACCCGGTCAACGAATCTCAATGCTTTCAATTTTAGACAAACTGATACGTCTGGCTCGGAGGCACAGGACGCGTACACGTCAACGGCATCCTCCAGAAGGGATTTTGGACCGGATTCTTGTCCCGCTGGGGCGGAAAAGACAAAACCGATCAATGAGATAACAACCACGTATCTTAGCATTTTGTTTTTTTAATTTTTGATTGTTATTATTAATAATATCACGAACTTCACTGTTTTAATGTTTTATTTTGATAAATAAAGTAAAATAACGAGTTTGTTGTTAAATTGGCAGCTCGTTGAACCAACTACGCCGATCGTATCGACACTGACCGAAAGAATCACGATGCTGCCTTTTATCCTCAACGCGAAAGGGGTCCGCGTACGTTTTTGAAATTTTGATGGCCCCCACTTTTGTTGGTCCACTGTACGAGCATTGACTATAAGCACCGTACGATCGTAACTGCCCCTGTCCCATCCACCAAACACACACAGGTACAAACGCGTGTCTTCCTCTTTTCTCTCTTCGCCTCTTTCCTCTCTTGCCACTTTTCTCTTTGCTCTTTACACTTTTTACTCCTCACCCAGCTACGACAAACGCAGGTTGAAAAAACATTTTAAATTGGGTACTACTCAAAAGGAAGAAATTTATTCGAGAATCGACGATTGTCGTCCAATCGTTTGTCTATCAGGAAACATGTGTGTTTCATGCGTGTATACATGAGCACACATGACCCGCCCTTTTACTAATACTTTCCAAGATTAGTTTCTCTCTAATACTTCAAAGCTCCTCCCATTCGATTATTTTTTAGAATGATTCGCTTAAAAAGAAAAAAAAATTTTTTTTCTAACAAATTTTGAAAAAAAAAAAACTGATTACACGTTTTCAAAATATTTTGTAATAAACTTTTTTAGATTTCAATTTTTTTTCTTAAAAATTTCACTTTTCATCATTTTTCTTCCTTAAAATTTGCTCAAATTTTTGGAAAAGTATACTTTACGTTTATAAACTTCATTTCATTTTTTTATCAAAATTTTGGTTCAATTTTCTATTCAAAATGTTACGGTCTAAATTTTTCTTTCTTAAAAATGAAATTGAATTTTTACGAAAAAAATTTAAGAAATTTATTTCGATTACTTTTTTGACTAATAACTTAATCAAATTTTTTTTTCTGAAATCTTGTTTGAATTTTAAGCAAAGAAAAAACGGTTTGCACGTTCGTTTTATGAAAATTTTTTCTTTGTCCTATTTCAATTTTTTTCTCAACAGTTTAACTTTTCAAAATTTTTCTTCCTTAAAATCTACTCAAATTAAAAAAAAAATCAGCTTCATTTTATCGAAATGTCTTTTCAATTTTTTTCATTAATAATATTAGTGTCCAAAATTTCGTCTCCTGAAAATTCAATCAAATTTTTAAATTAAAAAATATCTTTAACCTTTTTATAAACATATTTTTTCAAACATTTCATTTCAATGGTTTATCAAAAACTACATTTTTAATTATATTTAAAAAAATTTTTTTTTCATCAATGTAAATAAATTTTGCTGTAATTTATGTTTCTGCCTACTGGAACATTTTCTTCTAAATTTTAAAATCAATTATATATCTTTTCAAAATTCGAGATCCCTGCAAATTTTCTTTAATTAAGTAATAGTTATTAAAACGAAAAAGTTAAAATTGAGAAATTTTACAGTTAGAGATGTGTATATAGGAGAATCCACGAAGACAAGAATTAAGAGAGTAAGAGAGTTAAAAAAAAAAAAAAAAGGTGGACATAAAAATTGTGTCGCCTCGTGTGCCCGATGGCTATAAGACCATCAGCGCTCGCGACAACAACCCGGCGTTCTTATACTATGAATAAATTATTGTTTATCTTTAAATTTTAAACGTGAGAATTGGGCTTTGGGAATAAAAATAAGATAATTAATTTTTAAACTAAAATTTACATTGACCTCAAAAAGCATCCTCATATGTATCCTCTTAAATTGGCAATATATTCGCGAATAAATGCGCGAAGAAATTTGATCCTCAATTTCGATCTTAAGTTTACTTTCAAAAAATGAAATTTTGAAAAGATGAGGAACTTTCCTCGTTAACTACTAATGTAATTAATTCATCGTATTTGGAGTCAGAGCCTTAAGGACGTTTAACGGTTTTTACGGAATGCACGGTGAGGCGAGTTGGGCTCGCGCCAGACCCGCGGAGAAGACGACTGGCCGCGCCTCCCGTTGACCCCGAACCGATCTCAGTCTCTTGTCTAGAGTGAGAACGACTTTAACAATTTTTATTTGTTATTTTAAATTTATGGATCAGCTTAAATTGTATTATTTGAATGTTGCGTTAGAAATTTATATTTGTAACAAATGGTTCTTTAATATCTTTCGGAACAGATAACAGTCAAACTTTCTCCGCTCCGGTCCAATCATACGGACCTGTCTCTCAACCAGATACAATAAAGTAAAGTAAGAGCGTATTTTAAATTGATGCCGTACTCTCGAGACTGCGAGGCGTTTTTTTAATAAGCATACGTTATTATTATTTATTTTTTTTTTTAATTAATTTATATACTAATTAATAGTTATAACAATAAGCAAATACTTCGGCCCGGTTTAAAAATGAATTAAATTGATCAATTCGTTAATTTTCTGTATGATACATTTTTCAATCATAATTAAAAATTCGAGGATGCTCAATCAACTATAAAACTAAGTGATAACTCAGTATCGTAAAATGCATCGTAAAATTTAAAATATTGACTTTCATTGACGTCATCTAACTTACGTCTGATCGTTTTCTAAATTATTCGACAGCTTTCAATTTTTAAATATATGGACAAATAGCTATTTTTACAGGTTTATCTTTAAATAACTTTCAGAAGATAGATTGTATTTCAATTCCGTAGAATGCATGTCACAGTTTATAAAACAAGCTACAATTTACTCTATTGAATCTATAGTTTCACATCATCTTTAAAAATTGATTTAATATAACAATTGAGTAGTACATAAAAGTAGAGTTAAACATTAATTGAATTTGTTTTAATTGAAATAAAATAATATGTTTTCCAAAAAAATAATAAAAATATTATTGACACATTTACAATAAATTTATGATTTATTATTTTCAATTAATTAAATTTTAACAAAATATTTTACATTTATTTTTAAATTATTACATAAATACAAATCCACATATTTTATTCTTGTGAATAGAGTATTTGTTCTTGAATTAACGTTCAAATGTTAAATATTAAAAACTGAAATTACTGAAAATAATTTGACGAAATACGGAGGATGGAATGAAAGATGTTGGAAAAAATAAAAATCGTGGGAAAAAAAAGTTTTCGGCGCTACTTTCTCTCGATAAGTGAAGGAGGACCTGAATTCTCCCTTACGACGAAAAATATAACATTGCTCATCTCATCTCGTCTCGTCTCGTCTGGTTCCATCTCATAATTTCTTATAAATTTTAAAATTTTAGGTATGATTATACTGTACCGTGGACAGAGATACTTATTGCCGAGGTGCGATGACTAAAAAATGAGTAAAATGATCGGGCTCATGGAGCAGGTACTACGGGTATAATGGAACACTTTCCTCTCCCCGGCTGCGGCGAGAGTGAACTCGCTGGTCGTTGGAAGATCGAGGTCAGGTCAAGGCCCCCGTCCGACCAACCAGACTCCAGCTTGTAATTTTTTTATTTTTTTTTCTGTTGTATATTTATTACAGTTTTTGTAATCGATTTATTGTATGGCTTCTTGGACTTTACATGAATCAAATGTTTGAGGGTGAAATTTTAGAATATTTTTGAGAAACTTTATTCTCAGAAATTTAATTTAAATTATTAATAAAATGTGTATTAATAAAACTTGAATCATCGAGTCATTAATTATTTATAACCACTAGGGTTTTTCATTTGAATTTTTTTTTTCTGAAAAATTGTTGACATCGCTATACGATAATTGCTACAAAATGTCGTGATACGTGCGATTGAATTAAAAACTGTCTCAAAAACAAAATGGAGTACTACTGATTTACCAAAAAAGAAGATAAATCAATCTTGATGCTACTAAAAAACATAGCAGGTAATTATACAGAACAAATTATTTTAGACGAGTTCCCAGGGGCTAAAATACCACAAGTCAAGATAATTAAAGTAAAACTCCTGTCATTGAGAAAAGTAAAGGGGTTTAAATAGTCCATCGTCCAGATCACAGCTGACCGTTTTCACAAAAACTTGACTCAAGTTAAAAGACTATGCTGCCAAAAAATTAAATGGGAAAGACTTTGCAAGCCGAAAATCATACAATGTACTCGATGCCAAAGAGTTGACCTCACCGCATCAACATGTGCTATTAATTACAGGTATCACACGAAATGGGATAAAGACATGGCACCGAAATACCAAGAAAAAATTTTTACCACCAATTGATTCTCTCACACTCCAAACGATTCCTACTTTTGGACTGCTGCATTACGAACCTAAACATCACCGATTTTATCAGCAATAAAATAGAAACAGTTGATTATGACAGTGACTATAGAGCCCTATTACTCTCACTACAATTAAGTTCACCAATCCAAGTCGAGCAGTTTCCAAAAAAATTCAACTTTAAAACAACAGGTCTTATTACTCCAGATACTGTATAATTATTGGATAATTACGTGAAAGAATACTGTATAATCATCCACACCTCCAAATCTGTCCAACTTAACTTCAAATACAGACAAGAACACGGTAAATATTTTTAATACTATTGATAAACTAAACGTAATTGGTAATCACTACCAAAAAATAAACTCACCTCGATACCTAAACAGTTAAACAGCATTAAAACGAGTAGTTGACCGCATGGTTGATGAAATAAAAATCAAAATCGAAGAAATAAACCGAAATAAGATCACATTTACAATATTCAATGACAATAACAAAGCATCCTTCCCAAAAAACGAAGAGAACTGCCAACTTACTTTTACTAACTCTTTTTCATTGAATAAAGTTCTATAGAAACTACCCAATAGAACTTCAAGTGGACCAGACTACATTCCTTCAATAGTATAAAAACATCTACCGAACTCTTTAATCAACTCACTTATCATCATCTTCAATAATGACATAAATAACGCATACTATCCAGCTAAGATTCTTCAACAATCCTCTAACAAAGATCCTTCAAAACCTGTCAGCTACAGACCTATTAGCTTAATTAACAATTTGAGAAAATATTTGAGATCCACATCAACATCATCACAAAGGCTTGTGAGGATGATAAACTCATCCCTGATGAACAATTTGGATTCAAGAGACAACACTCCACGACCCATGCAGCTCACGTAGTAACTGACGTACTCCACAGCCTCCACCACAAAGAACTTGCTGCAGCAGTGCTGATCAATCAGGAAAAAGTATTCGACTCGATATGACTAGCAGGGCTCATATACGTTCTAGCTGAAGTTAACTTTATCCCTTGGCTAGTATATCTTTCCACAACATGCTTCACGATAAATGTTTTAATACCTGGCATGGAGTTAACCTTTCAATCGAATCGTTTCCGATCGAAGAAGGACTTCAACAGGGAACGATCGACTCACCGATTTTCTTTAATTTGTTTCCAGCAAAAATTCCCAAAATGTTTGGATTCAATAACTCCAACTGGAAATTTGCAAAGGCTTTTGCTGATGATCTCATTGCATATTTAACAGAATCTCAGGTTCCTCAGAGACGAATTGAATGAGCTATTGAATAAACTCAATAAAATATTCCAAATGCAGAACCTTCGTATCAATCTTGACAAATGCAAATCAATCCTATCCAAATAACTTCTAACGAGTACAAATGTCAACAGAAAAGCTCAGAGAAATAACTTCCAGCTTAGAACCAAACACCCAGGTACCAAAGAACTAATCGAAGTTCCTCATAAAAAAATGGTCAAGTATCTAGGCTTCCATATTGACATCTCATGAAATTAAACACTCATGTTTATATTCAGTTAGAAAAAGCTAAAATGGCTTCGGATATAGTGGCGTAGAACCAGCAAATGATCTTGGCTGTTGCGAATAAGTTCTTATTGGAGAAAATTTTCCTGTTTGCCTGAAAAGCCATTTTAGCTTTTTCTAGCTGAATATAAACATGAGTGGTTCTACGTCACTATATCCGAAGTCGTGATATCTGCGACATTATATCCGTACCATAATATCCTCGTGCCATTAATTCCTTGGACCACTATATCCGCAACAATATATAATATACATTATTAATAGTTTTACTAGGGTTAAAATTTTAATTAATTATCAAATATTCTATAATTAATTATCTCGACTAGAAATTTTCACGTGCTTCCACTTGAGACCCAACTTGGTTTTCCAATTGGGATCCCAAATTGGCATGTAACGCAGAAACGTATTTGGGCCCTGGTGGGGCAATCTCTATTGGTTCCCAATTGGGCTTGCCAATAGGTTCCCCATCAAAAGTAATCCCTATCGGTTCTCGATTGGGCTTGCCCAATAGGTTCCCGATCGAGTAAACCCAGTCTGTTCCCGCTTTATTAATGCACTCATGATGTGGCATATATGGCTACAAATTAAAAATAAACTGGAAATTACCAATAAAATTTGTTTATTTGTGAAGTTATAAGAATTAAATAAATCTAATTAATAAAATAATCATTTTTTCACTGTTTGTGTCTCAGCATCACATTTGTTGTTAGCTATATATCGATTACAAATAAATGTTAGGATAAGATAAACTAGAATGTTACGATTAACACGTCATCGATAATTCCTTAACATTTTACTAAATCATTAAGAATTAAAATAATATTTAATCTGCATTATTAATTTTTCAACTGAGTGGCTTCGCCCCCGAACCCCCACCGGGGCTTCACCTCTGGCCACCGTATAATTTTTTGCCAGCCCAAACCTTTTCCCATTACGCAACAAATTTGTTTTTTTTTCTTTTATTTAATATTATTATATTTTCTCAATAACTTTTTTTTCCTAGGGCTTTTCTTACTATGGAGAAGTTTTTTTTGATTGGTAGATTTTATAGGTCAGGGGAGAAGGAGATGATGGAGGAGATAGATACATTATTAGTCACACATAACACTTAAATTTACTTCTCACTCACTTTAAAAGTAATTATAATTAATAATTATTAATTATTAAAAATCGTACATGTCGAACGCGAGAGTCGAATACTGTACCCGACGCATGAGGGCCGTATAATTCTTTTTTTTTTTCAAATAAAGTTTACTTGCATTATGAAGATACAGAGTCTCATATAGTATTTTGTATATTTGGCTGCAAAAATACTTAAAAAATTGCCATAAACTGCACTGATAATTTTGTTAGTTAATGTCCCGAAAGATGGACTGTTCACAACTGTCTTATTTTCTAGTAAATAACATGAATACTTAATTAAAATTAACGTCTGATTATCCATATAGTTAGGTCGCACATAATTTTTTAGTGAAAATGTCTCTGAAATAATATTACGATGTAAAAAAATATAATAAAAAACATCAAGCTATGAGTCTCTTTGCTAACTTATAAACTAAAATAAATAAATATGTACATATATACACTATGTATAAGTGACCAGATTAAAATATCCCGACCCAAATTACTGCGAAAAAAATTTTGATTTTTTCAGCTTAGAAATAGAATTGTTCAAAATTTTCAACAAATTAATTTCTTGTCACAACAATGCCCATTTTTTTCAAAATACATTTTTTCTCCTAGTACACAGTAAACATTTTCCTGTTTACTTAATCGCAAATTAACATTTTCTACCTCCAAGTGTTAGAACAATCCAACTCCATCTTTCTCACACACACGTCTCCAACTTATATAGTAAAAAGTGAGTTATAGCAGCAAAGCGATTGACTGTCAAGTCCGCCTGGATGCTGTCTGCTGTCGGCCTGGTTTACTTCTTAGTACGTGAGCAAGTCACACACGCACACTTGGACATTCCTCGTACTGATACAAGAATATATAAAGTGTGTATTAAGTATTAAAAAGCAGAAACTTGATAACATAAGCGTTTAATCCATCAAATAAATAAACCTAATAAATAATTAATAACTATAAAACAATAATAATCTACATTCTAGAATCTAAGCTTTCCCAAGCATCAGCAAATTAACCACTACTGCACTAGTGAAATTATCTGCACACACAACACACATTCACATTGACAATCGTCTCAACCGGACGTTAATCGGCAGCTATATCAAGTGTAAGGTAGAAGTGGCGCTGCTCCGGTGGCCTGCATCTACATAATCACATACGGCTTCAATTACACATCCTATTCTATACATTACATGTCCGGGATCTGTGTGAAAATTATAATTCAGTCAAGCTCTAATTGCTATTAATATTCAATATTTAATTAACTTGCCTAAGAATCGACTTTTTAGCCAATTATTGTCTCCATTCGGGCCGAATTTCTTCAGGAAAACGATGACGACTTCCGGTTGGCAGTCAGGTGAAAGTTAAAGATGGAAAAAAAAAAAAAAAAAAACAAATAGATTTAAGTAAAAATGTTTATTTATTTTTTATAAAACAAATATTATATAATTTATGATTACAATAATTAAATAAATTATTTATAATTTTAATATTAGTCTTCGTTTTGTTCTCTATAGATACATGTTGGAAAATAAATAAAATACTGCGGGTGATAAATGGTAATTTGAATGGATGATTACGATTGTGCATGGGAGCAATAAAAAAATGGAAAAATCACAGTGCGGTCAGCGATTTCCAAATTTTCTTGGAAATCGCGGTTTTAGGGCAGAGGATGTTTTATTGTTGGCTTGTAGGGAGATTCCTAATGAGGTGAGTTGATAAATTATAATTTATAATTTGTAAATGTAAATGGTAATTTAATGAGTTATGAAAGTTTCAGTGATAATTATTATGAGGAGGATGATGTTGAAGAGGGACCGGGTTTGTAAGCGGAGTACGCGAGTTCCTGAGCAGAAGATCGCGCCCATCCGCTCCCTCCGTGGCCGACTTGGACCACCTCGTGCCCGTGCTCGTGCCCGGAAACCAGTTTCTTCAGCCCGATTATTGATGCGAGCACTAGGGCAAGTTTACTGACGATCAAGGCCTTGCCCGCTAATAATGCCAGCGCTCCCAGGGCCAGAGGGACCAGGGTTCCTCCGATTAACAAGGGGATTGCCAAAAGTCCCCCCATGTTTTTCTTCTTTTTGCCTCGACCTTTAATCAAATATTTTTTTTGTTATTTTTCAGTGTAAATTTTATTTTTAAAGTTCCAAAAATAATTTTGAAGTTTCATAATATTTTTTTAAAGCAAATGTAAATAATCTCAATTTTTCAAGTTTTTCGAAAATGAAAAATTTTGAATTTTCCAAAAAATGAATTTTTTTCAAATTTTTATCTCAAAAAAATTACACAAAAATTAATAAAATAAATTTTCTTTAAAATTATAAAAATTTCAAAAAATTCAAAATTTTAAAAAAATTTTTCAATCAAATAAAAAATCAAATTTTTGAAAAATTCAAAAAATTTTAGAACTTACCTTCTTCAGTAAGACTCCTCGACAATTCCTCAACATTAGGGAGCTTCAATTTAAGAGTATGACTCTGGAAGAACCGAACAAACTTGTCAAAAATCATAGTGTTAAGCGCATCTTCTTTGTCCTCTAGCGCCCTGGGTAAAGAGGCCTCAATTTCCTGAGGTGTCTTGGGAGCTTCCTCAATTTTCTCTCTCGAATTTTCGTCTCGCACAACCGTAACTCCTTCAGCGATATTAAGCTGGGCGCTACGCGACACGCGGTCCATCGCGGTCACCAGCTTGAGTTTCAGACAAGAGCTCATCTCCTCTCCCGAGCATTCTTTGTACACCTGATAAACATACCTCAGCTCGCCCAGCAGACCGTTTGCCGCCGAGGAGCGTCCCGTCTGCTCGTCAATCGAGTTTGTCTTCGCGATCGAGTCCGTTGATCTTCCAGCGGCTGATACGACCAAGATCGCCAAGGTGATATAACAGAAATGGTGACCCGTATGTCTCATTTTCTGTAATCCAAAAGTTTTCTAAAGTTAGAAAATTATTTAATTGATGATAAATAAATTTTTTTTTCAAATTTTGCACATTTAAAAAAGAATTTCCAAAATTTAAGAAATTAATTAAAAACATTTTTCCAAATTTTGCACATTTATAAAAAAAATATTCAAAAATCAATAAATTAATTAAAAACATTTTTTAAATTTTGCACATGTATAAAAAAAATATATAAATATTGGCAATTGGTATCATTGATAAAGTTACACTGAACGAATAAAAAACTTTCACGTAATATATTATATATTTTATGTGGAATTAAATACGATACGATACGATGCGAATGAAGAAGTCTATCAGTAGGTAAGCATCAACATTGCCGTTATATTTATACCCGTTGCCAATGATCTCAACACACTACACCGACACACCAATCGACATCATTTAAATCAACTGACCACGCATTTATGTCTTTTAAGACTGGGTCAGTAATGGAATAATAATAATAATTGTTATTATTATTATTATTATTATTATTATTATTATTATTATTATTATTATTATAATCTATTTGAGCCAAGTGAGTACTAATATAAATACAATGAATATTATTTTTGAATTATATAATATTTTTTACACCCCAATCTTTTTTTACAATCAAATAAAAAAATTTTAAAAAGTTTAATTAAAAACGCGTTAAGAAAAATTTTGGAGGAGAATCTTACAATTTTTTCAAAACATCATTTTGGAAAATTTTTTAATTGAAAATCCATAAATTATTGATCTGAAAAAACTTCAGATTTACACTTCATCGATTTGTGAGTTAAGTTTACCAACAAATTTTTTTATAATGAAAAAAAAAACAAGAATGCTTCTTTAATTTTGATTGAAAATTGAACAATTATTAGACTAGAATTTTTAGAACAGTCTAATGACTGTTTGATTTTCGAATGAAACAAAAGGAAAATTTTTAAAGAATATAATTAAATAAGAAACTGTAATCCGATAATAATTTTTTTCTCGTATTTAATTGAAAGTCAAAAATTATTAGACCGAAAACGCTACTGAAATATCAAGCTTTAATTTAAGTATCAAGGAATTTTTTTTTTAATTACTATAATTAACTTTAGCTCCGATTAAAATTATACTATAATTAAGCCCCAAGTTCATAATTAAAAAAAATTTTTGCGCTTGAATTGCAGAACTTTAAAATTGATTATACGGTAAAAAGAATTTATTCGGATCAATCATTTTAATTTTAATTTTTTCTTATAATAATTAGGTACCGAAATGTTTTAAATTATTCTAAATAAAACCTGATCAATTATCAAAACCAACCGTGATTAAATTTTGCCGATATTTCACTAAAATTTATCAAAGAAAAGCTATTTTCATCAAAAATGAAACCCTAACTCTTGGAAAATTGAAAAAAAGTGAAATTTTCTTAAATAATTTCAATTCCACCGATTTTTTATCAAAATTTTTTTTAATCACAAATTAATCTCCAACTTTTAAATAAATGAAAAAAACTCAAAATGTTAATTAAATTTACCGATTTATGTTCAAAATTTCCCAAGAGAAAAATTTCTTATTTATAAATCAATCCCCGAATCTTAAAAAAAAATCCGATCAATTATAAAACCAAACAACAAATTATTCTTAGTTTCATAACTCATCGGTTTTCAATGAAAATTTGTTCAGAAAAAATTCATTTAATTCAAATATAATCTGAATCTTAAAAATAATTAAAAAAAAGAACCAAAAATTTTTTCCGTATTTTCAATTAAAAATTAATGAATTATAAAACCGAACAATAAATTTTTCTTCGTCTCATAATTCCTTGATTTTTAAACAAAATTATCAAGAACAAACTGTGTTGATTAGAAATTAATTTCAACTTTAAAAAAACCCAAATTTTTTCGCAATTTAAATTAAAAATCGATGAATTATAAAAATAGAATCGATCAAATGAATTTTCAAACCAAGAAATTCCGTCTCTCAACAAAATAATCCTACCAAACAATAATAAAATATTTACTTCTCTTTTCAATATATAAAAAAGTCACTGATAAGAATATTAAAAAAATAAACAACAAACCACTGATAAAATTCGACGTACGTTTTGTTAAAAATAATAAAAGCCGGACTAAATAGACAGATACAATAAATGGTGGCGAGATGTTAGATCTTAGATGCCGATGTTAGATGATGCTTTTCTTGGAGAGCACTCTACGATGACTGTACGTAACGGAAGCCCTGCCCTAGCTCTATATATCTGGTCAGGTGTAGATAGACTCAGCCGTACTCGGGGATATTTCCCCACTTGCCTCCCACTTTTGATCACATTAAAGAAACTGCACTCGCACAAGTACACACCGGCTTAGATATTATTCTGTACCAATAATAACAACAATAACAAATCTTTATGGGGGTATGCCCCTCTGAATATCAACACTGAAATCCCGAGTACAGAGTACAGAGGAAGTTTGATGATGACGACAGCAAACCACCCAAGTGAAACGATAAAACCCGCTTTTTTATTTGGACTTGTGTGTAAACTCTTTTAATTTCGAATATCATTAGATATTATATGGATGCCTTTGTTTTTTAGCTTAGACGTCATTAGTAGGCCTGTGTTAGTGTGGCTGTGCAACGTCATTGGTCAATTAGTACTATTAACAGACAATTAACTTGTACGTCTATGAAATTCATCCATTCACATATGCAGGTACCGCTTTCATATATTGTACGCTTTTGATGTACTCATACTAATCATTGTTATTATTCAGTGAGACGAGAAAACGGACCGCGGACCAAAAGTTTACTGCATGTTAATGCTAAGATGGAGGGTTTTTATTTTTTATTTTTGCTATTATTAGTTAAAACTGCATTTCATTATAATAGTTTCTTTGACCTGGTACTTGTTATTTATAGTTATGGGCTTATGTTATGAGTTATGAGGATAATTATTGTTGTTATGACCGAGGATGTATTATATTGTTTTTTGCTATCGGTAACGTGACAAATTGACGGACTAGCTGGATAGTGTCTGGCTAATATGAGAGAAATCTTGAATTAGATTTAAACCTTTTGAAGGAAATTTAAATGCTGAATAATGGAAATTAATGTGTTTGTTTTTTGTCAAACATTGTGGTCATCGTTAATTTTTAATTGAAAAATAGTTTTTGTTTTCCTCCTTTTTCGAAAGGACGTTTGATGAAAAGTTTGAAGTTTTCACGGGAGTATAAATTTAGAATTTATTTTAATAAGGTCAGAGTTACTATTGCAAATTTGTTTAAAATCAAATTAGTAGTCAAATTAATTCGAATCTCGAAGATGCGTGTGATCATGTATACTCATATTCTTACGTGATGATTGTATCTGATCATATTGTGATCATGTATAGATGATAGATACATGTAATCATATGGTAATCGCACATGATCAAAAATGATCAATAGTGACCACATGTGCTCATATTGTGACCAGGCGTGATCATATGTGATCATGTTATGATCATATTATGGCTATATAAATAGCCACATGTGATCGTAGAGTTACTATAAATGGTCATGTGCAACTATTTTGTGATCATAAGAGATCATATTGTAATCATTTGTGGTTACATATGAGCAAGTTGGGACCATACATGCCTATATGTTATCATAATGTGACTAGAAATTATTACGTATGACCATACTATGACGTCTGTACTCATATTGTGATCATGAATAGTCATGTGTGACCACTTAACCTTATAATTACCATATTTAAAACCACTCAAGATCCCGTCTGATCAAGTAACACGCATTTTAATTAGAAATTGTCGTTTTTAACTTTTTTTCTTACACAAAAAATTTATCACAATGTATACCTAAACTAAATGCGAATTTTCATACGTCTTCAACTATAAATTTAAAATAAAATGTATCTATAATAAATTGAACAAAATTAGTACCAGTGGATGGGTTATATCTGGACATTCATGAGCTTGAAAATAATCCAAAAAATTAAATTAAAATCTGTCATGCATGTACAGTATATATGTTTACATGATTATATATAAATATAACATAAGGTGGATACCATTTCCTAGTCAATTAAAATAACACATCTATGCAAGTAAAGGTTTATTTAATCTTTTAATAAATCTAAACGTGTTTATACGGCATACGCCGGCTAAGCATACATTATACATTATATATTATATATTATATATGTATGGCGATTCGAAGTTTTCACTTGGTGTGACCCAGTTACTGATTCTTAGGCGAGCGCGACCATGAAAGAGAAGATTATATCAAGGTTGAATTTAATATATATATTTTTCCTCCATCTGCGGATTAAATTGACCAATTTTTTAGTAATTGCTAGTTTTGACTCGTCATTATCATTGTATACACTACTTCAATTAAGTATTAAGTGGTTTTTATTTTTATCACAGGTTGTAAAATTTTCATCTATTTTTTCTTGCAGCCATGCTTCAAATATGGTTTTTAAATATCGAGTGACTCATTCAGGAATAGTTTTTTTTTCTTATCTAATTTTCTATGAAGCGAATCCTCTCAATTTTATTGATAAATGATAATATATAGTGTGTTGAATATATTAAGAATTCTTAACCTATCACAATTTCAGTTTCCTTATGAATGAATTTCTTTAGGTACAAGCTAGCTAGAGAAAAAGAGTATTGTAGTAAATTGTTGATTTTTCGAACGTAGTAGATCAAAATTTGTTCATGAATTGGATAATGTTCGATTGTTATCTTTAGAAAAATCTTAATTCATTCAGAAATTGGGCCTATAACCTGATATTATGAATTTATTTTCAAATTTTTTTTCATCGGGGATACTTTTTGCCGCGATTTGTTTGGCAATTCGTACATTCTCTCTCGACCGGAACTCAAGTGCCTAAGACTGAGATATAGGTATGGAATGGAATGGAATGACGTACAGTATGGTATGGTATCGAATGGAATGGAATGGTACAAGGAATATGGTGTGGCATGGAG